CTAAAGAATGAATGAGCATAATCTCTTACAGCTTTCATGAACCAGAAGGATTAATCTGGCAGTCCAGTCCCATACTCCACTTCAAGTATTTTCAATTACTTGGCACTGTTGGAGGTGACGTCCACGGCTCAGTAAGAAGGCTACTGCTGGCATAATGGTTTCTCCATGTCCCAGCACATGGTCTTGGCATTAATAATCCATCATGAAATGATTTGCAATGCACAAGGGTGACATTTGATTACGTGAAAGGCATTGCAGGAATGAGCATGTAGGTTCTTAAGGCCAACTGCTGGCAAAAATATGATAAAATGTTATATGGTAAAAATAACATTTAGACGGTTTAGTTGAAACCACTGAAGACAGTTTCTGAACTGACCATGAAAAGTGTAAGGACATTGCTTTAGGAGAAATATTCTTTCTTTTTTTTTCCCTTCCTTTCTCAAATCACATTTTGGGGAGCCAAATAGGTTAAGATTTGGCAGCCAATCACCCAAAGACATTTTCAAAACATATTTGATTCAGGAAATTCTGGATCTTTTAAAGCAAGGATGTTAACAATCCTCCTGAGAACCTTAAAATATGATGATTTAAACATAAGGAAAAGGAAACCCTGAAATGATCAGAGAAATCACCAAGAGGCTTACCTGCTGAAGAGTTCAGCTTTTTAAATTTTGTTTTCTATTTTTTAGAGACTATAAGGAGGATGGTAAATTTACTACATACGGGATGTCTTATCATTTGGAGTAGAAATTTATGAGACAATAGGGAAATTCATAATTCTCAAGGAAGCAAAAACAAAAACAAGAACATTAGAATTTCTTAGACTCATATCCTCTAGATCTATTTACTGATCTGTCAAAAGCATTATATTCTAAGTACATTATAATGAATGTAGTTATTACATATGAACAAACATAATGCATGGGTGTGTATGGCCAAATGTTGGTTATCCGAGATCATGGGTATAGGGTGGAGGGAAAGTTATTTTGCATAAACGAAATTCAGAGAGAATTAGAAGGTTTTTTTAAATCAATAGTTTCAAATTAATCCACTTTCAAAACTTTAATCACAGATATGAACATAATAATATCAGCTGATTTTAATGTTACTGATTTTTCCTTCCTAGCCCACCATCTTGCAGAGTGAGGTGAAATACCTTAGTTGATATATTATGTTGTATGTAATAGTATATATTGTTTTGTATATCTGTCAATAGTGATTATTTTTTTTTAAAAAGGACATATATAAACTTCATTGATTCTTCGGATTTGTTATTCATCATTTAGCTATTCATTCAACAACATTTATTAGGCACTTACTATATGCAAGGCCCAGTACTTGGCATCTTAGGGATATAAAGATACAGACTCTGTCCCTGAGGCCCTTACATTTTATTATAGGGACAGAACATGCACATAAGTAGCTGTAGCATAAGGTAAAAAACATGAAATACTGGAAGAGAAGCAGAGATAACTAACTGCACTGGAAAATCAGAAGAGGTAAAGATTTTTAGTGGGGAGCTTCAGGGAAAATTCATGGAAAATGTGATATCTAAGTGAAGTCCTGGAAGATAGTCAGGGTTTAGACATGAAGAGAAGGTGGCAACAGCACTTCATGAGTCAGTCATAGTATGAGTGTGGAGTGGCTGGAAGAGGTCAAGGCCTGGATGAGGGACAGTCAGGCTGAAGCACTGAGTGTCAGAAAAGAATTCAGGAGATAAAGCTGGGAAAGTTGGGGCTAGTTGTAAAGTCTTTATTGCCAGAATAAGGAATTCAAACTTTAATAAGAAGGTAAAATAGTAGGGAGCCATTGGAGCCATTTTTTTTTCTTTTTTACTTTTTATTTTGAAATAACTTTAGACTTATAGAAGAATTGCAAAGATAACAGAGTTCCCAGAAAAAAGTCAATATTATGTAAGTTTTTATGCTTTTTTAATAGATCATGTAGTATTTTTATATCACACTCCTATGATTACATCCCCTTTCTCATGCTGAGAGTAGTGTATGTTTTTTATTCTTTTTTCTTACTCACAAATGTCTTTCTTGTTTATCTTTTCAAATATATAGTTTTTCATTTTTTTGACCAGGTTTGCCAGTTTTTGCCCAATTTCATATCAGCTCCCCCATAGCTATCCTACATATAAATCAAATCTACCTTAAAACAAAACAAAGCAAAACCCCAAAAAACAGTGAGATCAATGCACAGAAGTCCCTTGATCCATCTTTTAAACAGAATGCTGTCCCTTAGTCTCATACAGCCACAGAGCTGTGTGACTTTTTGTCATGATCCTGCTTGGAATACGGTGGGCCATTTCAATATGAAAATTTGTGCTTTCCTTTAACTCAAAGAAAATTGCTTCTGTTACTTATTTCTTCCCCTTATTTCCTTTGTCTCTTTCTAGAACTCTTATTAGATTAATGTTTACCTCCAGGATTTATCCCCCTGTCTCCTGTCCTCTTTTTCCATCTCTTTGTCTTTTTGCTCTAAGTTCTAGAAAATTTACTATTCATTTTTTACTTTGTTATCCTTTACTAATTTGGCTGTGATCTATGTCTATTCATCTGTTTACTCATTTTTTATTTGTTCTAATTATTGTTCTAATTTGGCAATCACACTTTAAATTTCCTGTTCCCTGCTTGTTTCTTTCTTCTTAGCTGTTTTAGGGATACTTATCTTTCCACAATTTTCTGAAGATAATTATTGTAATACTCTTTTACATACTCTGCTGCTTAAATTATTTCTGTTCTTTTGTTTGCTTGCCTTGGCCTTTTTAAAATTTTTTTCTTTTGGATTTCTTCACATGTTTGGTGATCTTTAGTCCATTGACATTCATGGACAAAAAAAAAAAACCAGATTCATTTAGGTGGCTGGCAAAACCTTGCTCTGTGGCTGAGCAGCTCTGTTTTCCTAGGAGGCCTCCCCTGAATGGAAAGTCTGATGGGAGCTCTCTATGAGTAGGCAGACTTCACCTTGAACGCTCGATGATGGACCTGCAGACTCATGTGGATTAGGGAATCCTTTCCTCATTTGCTGCCTTTCCTCGCCCTCCCTTGCTCCCCATCCATGTCTAAGTGTCTAGGGTTCCATCAAGTTCTGTTCTAAGGCTTCTAGAGCCATTTTCAAATCATCCTCATCAGACAGTTCACTTTCATTAGTCAGAGGTAAAAATCCACTGTTGACCACTGCTCAGGGTAGAAGGCAAGACCTCACTGGCTGGCGGTGTCAGAAGTTTTGAAAGCAGTTCTTTAAAATTACCCCAGGCTACTGTCAGAGTAAGCTTTCTGAAACACATTTGAATATATCATGCTCCTGCTCAGAATCTTTCAGGGATTTTGATTTTATATAGAATAAAACCTGTTCTTCTTTGCAAAGCATGAACACCCCTTATAGTTTGATATGAGTGCCTACCATCATCTCCTACTGTTTCCCTGTCACAGACACACTTAGGATCCCCAAATTCTGAAAGTTCTTGTGGTTTTCTCTTGTTCCATGCCTCTGTACACACTGTTCCCTATGCTGAGAATGTTATCTCTTCTTTACTGATTGGCAAAGACACCCTCAATTGTACATCTCAGTGTGTGATTGCTTCCCATGAATTCTTTTCTGACTTCCCTAGGCAGACATAGGTTTGTGGGTCTATTTATTAAACTATATCTTCCCCTTACTCCACAAAGGATTTGAAATAATATAAAACAGATACATGGTAACAGGACGAAATAAATGAGTGAGGCACACAAAGGATTTGAAATAATATAAAACAGATACATGGTAACAGGACGAAATAAACGAGTGAGGCACACTAAGTTCAAAGGGAGAGTAAAGTTAGAAATATAAATAATATCAAGTATGAGGTTAGTCCTAAAAATTACACGACAGTAAGTTTTATAGACATACTACAAAGAGATACACTGAAATTTTGCCTCTGGGCTTCCTAGTTGTCAAAGCTAAGAGGGAAAGTTGAGTGCTTCTGAGTTTCACATTGTCCATAAACTATAAATGAAGGATTTTTGCCAGTTATTGAAAATTAAGAGAGAGTTTACTGCACTAAAGGGGTATTTATAAAGGTGACTGGTAAATTGAGAAGCTCCAACTTTTGTGCTTTCATTGACCCTCTAATATTACTATGTAATTACTATAATTTTTGTACATTTCTTTCCTTAAGGTATGGACCATATCCTCATTACTTGATCCAGTGCTTGATATTTCCTAGTCACTCAATAAGTATTTGTTACGCACACAAGCAGATACGGATTGTTAATGCAGACAAATGTTTTTGTGTGAACAGGTGTACAACTAGAAATGTATCATCTTTTACACCCATCATAAACATAACAAAGAATTAACCAACTGGAAGAGTCTTTATACTAATTATCAAAATAATACTTGGAATAACTGCTATATATCAGATAAACACATTGCATGTATATTTCATATGACTCTCAACCTACCCTGTGGGTATTATTCCCCATCTCAAAATCAGGGAAATCAGTAAGTTAAATAAATTTCCCAAGGGTCTACGATTATTCAGAGGCAGAACTTGGGATTGGCATAGGTGCCTGAACCCAGCCCTGTGACCCTCAACCTTTGCTATAGGTTCATGCTTTCGTGTGTAGTAGATTGATTAGTATTTGATTACAAATTTCATAAACGTGAAGACTTTCTACTGATGGAAGGGCCCTGATGGAAGGACTTTGCCCAAGTTCCTTTGTTCTTTAAGATTTATTCTAAAATATTTGAGGGAAAAGGCAGCAGCAGTTAGGCAAATAAAATACTATAAAATTCATTTTCCATAAAGAAATATCAGGGGACAACACTCTAATAAAAAATACTTCCCATTTAAAAAAATGGGAACATCTGACCAATTTTTCTGTTACATAATGGAATGTGGCACAACTTTTTTCATTAGACCCAAGAAAACTTACAATGTACCATTTTATAAAAGGGCTTACTCTGTTTTAACTCAATCAGCTTTCACTGATCAATTTATGGTTGCTTCTTACCTGAAAGTTGCCAAAACAGCTTCCCCCTGGGAGGGTCACATAACTCACAAAGGGTGGTCCAGGAGACGGCAGCGACTCGTAGACCACCACACCTTCACTTGGGAACGCAGCCCTCTGTTGCTGCTTGCTTTCCCAAAATTCCTGTAACATTGACACAACGTTCACTGAAAAAGACAAGAAATATAATCAGTTATTAAGGATGGACATACCCTAGCAAAAAGAACATTTTATTTGCGGGTTGGATTGTGTAACAAGGCACTTTCAGTTTAAGCAGAAGGGAGTATGTGTATGTTTGGGTGGGGTGGGGGTGTGGGGTGCTTTCAGTTGTGAAAGAAACAAATACTATTTAACACAAATGTGTTTATTTTTCATGAGTATGGCTCAAGTGGTTTGGCACCCTAATTCTAACAGCATTGCAGTATATTAAATTTACAAATTAGTTTTTGATAACAAATTTAAAAATCTCACTCTTCCTTCTTTGAAAATTTTCCTTAATAAACTTTGTCCAGATCTATGGTTATCCATGACTCCCACTCCTGTTTCTCATAGATTCTTGGACCTGCAAAGTGAAAGTTAAATTCAAAGGTAAAAATATGAGCAGTGTAATTTTTTTTTAATTTATTTATTTTATTTGTTTTATTTTTGGCTGCATTGGGTCTTCGTTGCCGCGCGTGGGCTTTCTCTAGTTGCAGCGAGCAGGGGCTACTCTTTGTTGCAGTGCAGGGGCTTCTCATTGCGGTGACTACTCTTGTTGCAGAGCGCAGGCTCTACGTGTGCAGGTTTCAGTAGTTGTGGCACGTGGGCTCAGTAGTTGTGGCTCACGGGCTCTAGAGTGCAGGCTCAGCAGTTGTGGCGCACGGGCTTAGTTGCTCCACGGCATGTGGGATCTTCCCGCACCAGGGCTGGAACCCGTGTCTCCTGCATGCAGACGGATTCTTAACTACTACGCCACCAGGGAAGCCCCAAGCAATGTAATTTTAATTGGAACTCACCTATTATAAGATTTAAGAGGAGAAAGGCAGAAAGAAGAAAATTCTTTCATGCTCCTTTCCACCCTAATCCAAAGGAGAATGAAAGCAATTGTGTAATAAGCAGGAGGCTGGGGAAAAAAAAACATAAGTGAAACTAATAACATGGAAACCTTGTTAAGGACCACCTCTGTTAGATGACTTCAGAAAAGGTAGTAATGGCTACAGCCATGTGTTTTAGATTAAATGACCTATGATAGCCTGTAGAAGTTCCAGATCAAATTAGGTTGGTTTGTTTATCCTGTACTGCAAATTGAATTGTGGAAATTAACAAGGATAATAGAATTGTAGAGGCAAAAGAGACCTTTCAGGTCATGCAGGCAAAGCTCCGCTTGATGCAGGAATTCCTTGCACAATACCACTGACAGCTGCCCATTTGGCCTGATTCTGGACACACGGAAGGACCGGGTAATTGGCACATCTTGATGTAGCCCATTTCAAATGCTAATGGTTTTAACTATAAGAAGGTCATTTTGGGGAGTGTGTGGAAATCTGCTTTCCTATAAGGTTCATGCAAGTGGGCTATTTCTCATTTCTGGGACTTCATAGAGGTTAATCCCCGTATTCATAAGAGAACCCATGACATAATTGAAGGTGGTACAGGACATCTGTTGTTTTTGCCTCCCTGGCATTTGTTGTCCCTCTTTGCAGGAATAGCACGAAAGTTTTCCTTAAAGAACCACCTTTCCTTTAACCAAGTCTTCTCCAGGGTTGAGGATTGGGGATTAGACCAAAGTCAAGTCATTTAGAGTCAATGAGTCCAGGACTTTTGTTGGAAATGTCAGAAGACTGGATTCTCCTTTTTCACTAGAGTTGCTGGGGTTATAGGAGAGAAGTATGGTGCTGCCCAGGCAAGGGAGACTCATGGCTGAAAAGAAAGCCAACATAGAGCAGGGTAGAACCAAGAGACAGAGAAAGAAAGACTAAGTTCTGATGTCATAGCTTAAGCTCCTGAACCAACACATCTGCTTTTACCTTAAACCGTTTTGAATTGGCATCTCACACTTGCGTATAAAAGTGTACTAAAATAGACAACTCTCAGGTTTCCTCAGGTTCTAGATTGAATAGCTTTTCTTCTTTCAAACTTTCTTTTTGTAATATGGTGTCTATGCCCTTTGACATTCTCCTGATATATTTCTGAATACATGTGCTTCAAAATGCTGGGTTTTGTTATTTTGCAGGAAGTCAGGAGAGTCACAGAGTTTGACCTGGAGGCAAAAACATTGCACAACCACTTTCTAAGCTGTTGACCAGAGCACCTGGCTCTTTCACTTCATTCCTAGGTCACCCATCAGCTTCCAGCTTTACAAGGTGTAGTTCAGGAAAATTTGCAGACACCCAGGGAATTGGATGCCTGTGTATATTTAAGAGCTGTAGTTTTTAGTATTTAAGAAGGACCGGGTAATTTGTGTTTTGGGAAAGAAACTGGGAAATATAAGACTATCAGAGGGGATAATTGAATTAACCAATAAAATACATGCTAAGTGGTCAAGGTGAGCTTGGTAATTACAGACATTTTTCATTCATTCAAAAATATTTGAAGTAATATTTTCCACCAGTTGATGTAACCCAAAATAGAATTAGAACTTTTATTTCCTAAACTGTATTTCTGCTCCCCAACTTCCTCTCTCTCCCATGTCCAGGAAAATAAGTATTTTGTGAGCGGGCTGATTTGTGTTTCAATTTGCCCGTGACCTACAGAATTCAGCAGAGATGTCTTGAAGATTGAAGCCTAAAACTGAAGTCAGTGGTCTGTTGCCCTGATAGTCAACAAGGGCCATTAACCGGCTATTTTAAGTTGGTTCATTGTTGAATGATGTTCAGCTGAAAAGTGGAGTAAGGAGCTGAAGACTCATGCTCTTCTAGGTAAAATGAACACAAGAATTTTGGCACGTAAAACTGTGTGGATTAAAGAGTTCAAAGGTGGGTACTAAGTAAAATTTCTGCATGAATAAATGTAGCAGTTTTCAAATTTTTTATTCTGCAACCTTGGAAGATTTCTTTGATGGTCTTACGTATGTCATCACCTCTAAAGAGTGCAACATATGTACGTGTACACACACAATCCATCTTTCTATCTCTATCTCCTCGTGTCGACTGGAAAACCAGATGAATGGAGTGCAGAGGGAAGAAGGCCAGCATGCTGTTTGGAATTTCAAAGATCAGTATATCTGAAGATGCTCTATTTATGAAACACATGCTCCTTTATTTTTTTGAAGTAGCAACAACAAGGTTCATGGACAATGTCAAAGAAAAGGCAAGCAAAGGGTCAAGTACTGCTGAAGAAAACCACCCAAATTTGAAGAAAGGCCTCACAACACAGTTTAGTCGCCAGCTGCAGTTGCACCTTCAGTGCCCAGCCAATGATCCTCCCCTTCACGTTACAAACTTAAGCCACCAAGCGTGTGATGTCCCTCCCTACATCTAGTGACCCATCTGCACAAGTGCCCAGCTCTACCTTATTTCCTTCAGTCTCAAATGTAGTTGTGTTGCTTCTTCTGGGCATTGTTCTATTAGTAATTCTCTTGGCTTCCTATTTTTAAATGTTTTTTCTTTACTCACTCCTCAGTGGCCATAAGTATGCTCAAGACAACAAATGAATGAATAAATGAATGAATGAATGAATCAATTAAAAGAAACACTTAACCTCGGGAATATTCTTTTTTCTTTTTTGGCCATGCCATGTGGCATGCAGGATCTTAGTTCCCTGACCAGGGATGGAACCCATGCCCCCTGAGTTGGAAGCGCAGAGTCTTAACCACGGGACACCCAGGGAAGTCCCCCTGCCATTCATTTTTAACCCACCAACAATCTGGCTTTCCTCTACATTATGCTACTGAAACTACTTGGCAAATATCACTAATTCTAACTTTCAGTCCTTATTTACTTGACCTCTAACTGCATTTGACACAGCTGATCAATTTCTTCTAAAAACTCTCATCTCCCTAAGCTTTTATGACAGTATTCTCCCTGATTCTTCTTCTGTATTTCTATCATTTCTTCTGTCTATTTTATGGGTTTCTCTTCCTCTGCTCACCCCTCATGTTGATTTGCACAAGAGCCTTATCCTTGTCTTTTCTTGCTTCTCTCTCTACTGTTCTTGAATGACAGAACCTATTTCCATGAATCCATCTACCATAATATATGCCAATAGTTCCCAAAACATTCTCTTGTAACTCCAACTTTGTTAACAGATACTTCCATTTGGATGTCACAGAAATTCAACATATTCCTAGACTCAACCCATTTTCTTTTCCATAAACTCTTTTCCCAAATTATTTAGAAAGTGATATAATCATATACCCAGTCATGTAAATCAGAAACCTGACAGGAACTTTAAACTTAATTTCCTCTCTCCAGATCTAATAAATGCCCAGATTTTGTCAGTTCCATATCCTGATGTCTCTGATAGTCATCACTTCTTCTCAGTTAATATTGCCACTGCTGCATTGGTTCATATCTAACCAGATATACCACAGTACCCACTTGACTCCAATCACCCTCCCATCCAACCCATCCTCAACTGTTTCCAGGTAATCTTTCTGAATCTTATGGTTAATTAAATCACTCACATCTTAAAATCTTTCTGTGGGTCCTTCATTACCTACAGAACAAATAACTTCTTGGCAAGTCATAGAAGACCCTATGTCTTGATACTCTTTCTCATTCTAAACTTCCTCAAGTCACCTTCCAGGCCCCTCAGGCTCTCATGCTCCCAGGCCTACTGAACCAGAATCTACATTTTAAACAAGATTCTCAGGCAATCTGATGCACACTAAAGCTTGAGAAGTCCTGAGTAGGATAGGACGAAGTTGCTATTCTCATCTCTCTTATCATGTGCCTATTATATGCCAGGCACTAGGCATTTTCTCATTTAATTCTTACAACAGGTATTATCCACAACATAGAGATAAGAAATAAAAGATGCTCAGGATACAGTCACACAGCTACTAAGTCTTAGCCTTGGGATTTTTAACCTAGTTTGGTCTGGGTGTATAGTCTAGCTCTTTGCTCATCCTGAGCCACTCCTAATTATAATGGAATGTAAGTTGTTTTCATGCATGTCTACATCTATTAGAAGCATTTTAGAAGAAGAATAAAGGTTAATTGAATATTTGAATGTCATCAAAGGTATG